ATGGAGAGGGAAAAAATAATGTGCTCAAATTTAATGTATTCCATACTCTATACCTGGCCCTGTGGGAAGGCTCAATATTGTCTGCACTATTCTCTAGTTCAGTGGCCCTCAACCTTCCTAACTCTGCGACCCTTTAATATGGTTCCTTATGTTGTGGTGACCCCCAAACATAAGACTATTTTCATTGCTACTTCATAATTGTAATTGTGCTACTCTTATGAATCACAATGTAAATATCTGATATGCAGGATATCTGATATGTAGCCCCTGTGAAAGGGTAGTTCAACCCCCCCCTGAAGGGGTCACGACCCATAGGCTGAGAACCACTAATCTAGTTCCTCTGTGACAATGTAGTAGCAAATCACATACTGCATGGTTTCTAGACACTTTCCATGCTTCCACACAGACCACATTATGAGCGTGAGAATTATACAGCACTCACAGTCAAGCACAATAAACAGCAGCAGCACTCCTGATGGAGTCTACTCCCTGCTGTGACAGATTCTGTCTCTATTAATTTAGCTGCCAATCAGTCACTGTGTTCAGCTTTGAATCTTCACCATGAGGGCAATGAGCAACCACGGAAGGACCATGTGCTCTGACGTTGGGTAGACCTCAGCAAGCAGCCATGACTCCACCACTGCCGAGCTGGGGGCCACCGTGGAGATCAGTCTTCTCATCTGTAAGCTGGGCTCCAATGGATACCTCCAAAAAGTCATTGAGAGTATTAAATGGAGAGAGTATTAAATGGATACATGAATAGTTTGGGGTGGCACTCACCCAAAACAGGTGTTCATGAGCCATGTGAGGAGAGGATGATGAAGGCATATTTTCATCTGTCTTTCTAGTCTTTGAACATATTAACTTTCTTTTTCTTAATTTTTCTCCCTCCCTCCTTCCTCCCCATTCCTTTCCTCCCTCCCTCCCTTCTTCCACCCCTCCCTTCTTTTGTATTCTTCAACAGCCTCTACTGTAAAGTGCAATGAAGAAAATTCATCCTGTAGACACCCAGGGAAGTTGAAGCTTAAAAAAATACCCAGTAGTTCAGTTAGTGCTTTTCATAAAGTTTACAATGTTTAACCACAGAAGGGTAAGATATGAGAAAAAAACAGTGTTTGTAAATGACTGTGTATTGTCCCTTATGGGTCATTAACAGATAAAGTTTGGGCAGATAAGAAATTCTAGAGAAATGCCAGCTACACCACTCCCAATAAACACCTGAAGAACTCAGGTCAGGACACCACCAAGAGAACTCCATAGTTGTGGTGTTTCTCTCTCTCTCTCTCTCTCTCTCTCTCTCTCTCTCTCTCTCTCTCTCTC